CAAACATGCAGACTGCCTCAGTTTTCCTCCCTCCCACATTGCCTCGTTGGCATCAGTGCCTGGACTAAAACTGCTCAATTTCTAACTCCTGGCAATTTCTAACTCCTAACAATGAGGGCAGGAAGCGGGGGAAGAAGTAATCTCTGAGAAGTTCCACATCCAAGGTATCCTCAATGCCACTGTTTCACAGGGAAAGAGTCCCAAGTCAGCTTCTAAGTTGAATAAATTATGAAAAAGCAGTCCCCAATGAAACAAAATGCTAGGACTTTAACAAATATGCCAACATTCATAGAATGCTAAAAAAGATTTAAACTTGCACACCAGTTTTAAGAGCTTAAGACTAATTCTCCATTTGAATATGTGAGAAATCACAGCATATGAATATATACTGAGAAAAAAAACAAGCAACATCACAAACAGAGAGGACAAAAAAAAGTACCACAACTTACTTGTCACCTCCTACAGTTTCTGATCTGCCCTGTAATAATAAATCAAATAGTTGACAAAACATGCTAACAAAGGCTTTACAATTTTATTTTTCCTGCTTCTGTTTATAAGGTAAGGGGTTTTTCCTGTGTAAAAGTTAACTTCTAGATATCAAGAAACTGGACAAGCATCAAGGGTCAAGACTTAATTGTTCTTCATTAATAATTTGTACCTCAAATGGAGGGGAGGGAAAAAATCTCCACACCCATGAATACTATTAATCAGTGCAATAATGCCACAAATGCAGCTGCTGAACACAGCATGTTTTCCATTCTTTGCAGGAGAAATAATGCAGGAGAAATAATCATGTGAGAAATAATGCACCTTTGAGCCAGGTGTGAGTCTAGGGAGCTCATCAGAGCTTTGGCCTGGGGGGAAATTTATAAAAACACAAGGGCTGGGCAAGGCAAGGCCTGCAAAGGTCAGCTGTTGCTGTAAAAAGCAGTGCTAACATTTTTAATCAAATTTATCATCCAGGGTAAGAACAGTGCACTGCATTTAGACACAGGGCTTTGAAACTGCCTCTTCCTGCCCATGCAGCAACGACTCCATGTGCATGGGGGGACAGCAATTCCACCTGGAGAACATCCCAAACTGTGCGGGGCAGTCAGGCAGGTGTGGAGAACACTTCACTCTTCAGCAATTTGCCAAACAAGACGCAAGCCCCACGCCTCCCTCTCCTGCAAGGCCACAGGAAACAATGAACGCCAGTACTGAGAACAGCAGCATGTCCTGACTGAGGGAGGATTAAACTGCCAAAAAACACCATCCAGCAACTCTTCCAGGCCACTGCAAGAGGTGATAACACTGCGAGGGAATTTCTCCCCCTGTCCATTCAAAAGGAGAGAGCCCACCTCAGGCAGCTGGCTGCACAGACCATGGGCTGGACTCCCAGCAGTGCAAAACACCTCTTTGGTCAGTAAATACCTCTTCACTGATGCTTTTGGGGGTTTGTACTTGCAGAAAACAGCCCACGTGGTGGTTTTGCACTTCAGTTGCTTTTTTCTTCCCTGCTGCAAATTTAACTGCTTGCAGCTTCCATTGACACAAAACACTCTCAAGATGGTTGTCACAGCTTGCCTTTCACTTAAAAATCCACGGGAACACTACAAGCTATACAAACCACGAAACCACTGCTTTTTATGGTCACCAGCCCTTTAGACACTCTCCACTCCTCTGTTCCACTGAATGTGCAATGCTGTTTACTCTCATTGTAACCCTTTGAGATCTTACTTTTGCACTACAACCCTTCCTGTCCTTGCTCACCTACAAACCTCAGGAGCTCTGTAAATAAATGCACATGCCCTTCACAAAAAAAAAAAAAATTCTCAGTGTTAACTACATGAATGCATCCTCTGACCAGAGCAACCAGCAGTCACATATAAAAACCACTAAATTAAAAGCGTTTTGTACACAGTTACAAGTCAGAGTTCATTCCAGCTGAGTTTCTACTTGACTGATGACATAAATCCATAACTCTGTCCATGAGAGCAATTAGCACTGAACAGCACCATTGACCAAATGCAATAAATCCACTACAGCTCACTCTAAGAGACCATGACAGAAACTGGAGAGGAACAAACCTGAAGAGACCTCACCCAACACAGTTAAAAGCAGAGGCCACTGCTAAACCAGAGGGCTATTAGCACTGCACTTAGCAGAAAGAGCTTGAAATTATTTTTGCAGAGGTTCTCCAACACAAATTAAAAAGGCTTGTGTTGAACATAATGATGGAGGTTCAGCTACTTGAGGGATTCCACCATGCCTGGAGAGGGAGGATGAGGTTTAGTTCTCAGTGGGTCTGAAAGAGAAGGGAATCCCAGGGAGCCAACTCCAAGCCAAAGACTACTGCAGCACTCAGGAGAGAGCAGGAACCTGAACCCCACATTCAGAACCCTGGGGTTACCACAGGCAACAAGCTGCAGACTACCTGCAGCCTAAACCAAACAGCGCAGAGCTGGGTGAAACACTGCGGGTTAAAAGTTACTTGTGATCAGTGTGTTTCCACAGGGTGTCCAAGAACGCTACAGAATGAAACATTGCCAAAAAAGGGCAAATGGAAAAAAGAGGAGGATCGGAGCACTCTGAAGAGGCACTGAATTTTTCAACGAAACAAGGAAGAATTTTTCAACAAAACAAGAGCAGCAAAAATATCCCAAAGGAGCCTCAAAGACAAAGTCAGGAGACCAATGCAGGCCGGGTTTTAAAGCAGCCAACATGTTAAGGAAGGTGGGTGCTGACCCTTGACTAGAAAGAACTTGGAATACAAAACACTGTTTTCTTAGGGAAAAAAAATATAAGCATTTTCTGAAGGCAAGACTTTTTCTCTGCTTTCTAGAAAGAAGGAAATTAAAACCATGACAAGATTTTCCTCCAGGCGGGTCAGCACTTGCAAACAGATGTTGCTAACAGCTTGGGAACAGCACAGTACTCACCAGAACAGTTTGTCTTGAACCACTTTTTGTAACCTACTTTTAATATAAGCTTTGCTTTTGAGGGAAGGCTCTTCACTGGCCCCCAGCTCAGTGTGCTTGAATAGTATTTTCTAGCCATTAAATCCACCCTAGAATAGTAGAGAATAAAAAAAACTCTCACAGAAATTGAAGAGAAGCACAGAGACTTTCAACTCTTGTCAGTGTAGAGGGGCACTGAACCGACTTAGGGCTGCTCTCACAAAGCTGCAGGGCTGTACCTTAGCTCAACATTTTACTTCATTCACTTGGTCACCATAAGCACAGTCTTTGTGCTGGCCACATCACCTTGCTCACTCAGTGCCAACATCTAGTACACAACACCCAGCACCAAATCACCCCTCCTGTAATTTTTATAGTACAGTGGAGGAGAAGAAAGACTCCTCTTCTCTTCTCTTCTCTTCTCTTCTCTTCTCTTCTCTTCTCCCTCCCCTCCCCTTCCCTTCCCTTCCCTTCTCTCTTTTCCCTTCCCTTCCCTTCCCTTCCCTTCCCTTCCCTTCCCTTCCCTTCCCTTCTCTCTTTTCCCTTCCCTTCCCTTCTCCCAACCTCTCCAAGCTCCAGACTCCTGGGACTACTTTTCTCTCTCATCCCTACCCTGTTTTCATCATCCCAGTGTTCTTCTGCTGCACCCACAACACACAAAGAGATGAAGACCCTTCTTGAATCACAAGATCTAGATCCCACTGTTTTAGTTAGAAAGGTCTTTAAAAAATTGTGGAAATGAAACTTTTTACAGCTCATGGAAGATTCTCAACAACAGGTTTTAGGAAAGAGCTGCTCAAAGATGAAATCACCAGATACTGGGCCAATAACCAAACCTGAATACTACAGACATCTCAGTATGCATTAAAATGAAATTAGAAACTGTACAAACACAAACCTAATTAAAAGCACAAGAAAGCAGCATATTGAAATCACTTAAATTACTATGAAATACTTCAGGGCCCTCTAGTGGTTTGATCTCTGGTACGAGAAAAAAATGCACGAAGAATTGTTTTTAAAATAAGGCTACTGAGGTGTATGGCAATAATATGTTCTATTTTTGTCACTCTCATGTAATTAAGGGCATTTGGGCTGGAAAGCTGCCTAGAAAATTACCAGAAAGGCGAAAAAACTACAAATTAATCCTTGTTCACAAAATCAGCTAATCGGTAGCATTTTTTGTCTTCATAAAAATGAGAATTTACTCATTAACATTCTTTACTGTACATAACCAAAAAAACGCAAAGAAAAAGGAAAAAAAAAGTCACAACCACTCTCCCAAATTCACACCAGAATGACTATTTCATTCACTACTGAAATGCCAAGCTCTAAACCAGATCTCTACAGCCCTAAACTGCATGGTTAAAAAGTCCAAAAATGAAATTTCCTCAAAGAAATTGCATCTACAAGATTTCATCCCCTCTGTTCAGAACACTGCTTCATCTTTCATCTATCACCCTAAAAGTTACATCCTACTCTGCCTTTACTACACAGAAAAAGTGATACAGAAGACAAAAGAACAAGTGATACAGGTAACAAATTTCCTCTTGAAACATGCCAAGAGAACTCAAAGCAAAGAGACGATCAGTCACAATACTTCCAGGTCTGTACCCCAGTCTGAGATGGTGTAAAAGGACAAACAGCATCAAAACCAAGTTGCAAAGGTTTTCTACACCTGCCTAAAGTCTCCTGTCTTTTAGAGACATCAAAACTATGACAAACAGGGGAAAAAAGCCACATAACAACTCTTTTAGATCTGAAAGTGCATGAGTTTGGAAATTACTCCAGCAGATCCCATGATCAGGAGTGTGTGGCAGGACCATGACAATGACAATGCTTAAGCGCACAAATCTTTCACAGGCCAGAGTCAGAAGCCATGAACACCAGCCTAAACACAATTTAGGAGCAAGTGCCCAGAACTGTGAGGGATTTGGGAAGTTCTGAACCCAGCAGCAAACTCAGCCACTCTGGGAAGGGCCATGACAGAACCACACATCCAAACCTGCTCCTGGATCTCAGCTCCACCGCTGGCTCTGGGAAAGAGAGCCCCACAGAACTCACCTCATGGAGGTTATACTGTGGATGAGCTTTTCAGATTGATCTGACAGCCGAGATGGAAGAATTATTTCAACTGGCTGCAGGCGCAGAACGCGACTCTCCAGCTCCGAGCGGGAAGCACCGTCCCGAAAACTGTCAAAAATCACTTCTCCTGTAGTTGGCTGGATCGCCTGCCAAACAAAAACATACACACACATATCCAGTGGATATTCACGTTTTCAGGGACTGCTTCAGAGGCTCAAACTGCTAACCAGAAAGAAAATCAGTGGTGTAAAATTATACAGCAGCCCCACACACAGCCAAAGTGGGAAATCAAAATACCTGAATGTGCTTTTTTCCAAACCCATGACACAACAATAACCTCAAAACACTAACACAACTTTGTCTTGGTAAGTGGCAACGATACCTTACAAATGTAAATGTGCTTTTGTTGTTACCAGTCCATCTCTGTTCAATTTTTAATACTAGACAAATCTATTAACTGAAGGCTATGAAATGCACATGTAATTCGAACTGGAATTTGAACACTTGCTTCTGTTCTCTCCCAGCAGCAGTATGACATTCAAACAGAGACACAATCAAGATACTTTTTAATTAATTCATTACCAGCTGACTGGGCTTCACTTATCACCGTGTTTTGCTGGTTAAACAGGACTGGGTTTAATCTTCACCAATACAAATCTGAAGTGTAAGTGGTAAAAAATCCTCTAAAGTCTCTTCCTCTAAAGATTGGTATTTTGTAGAGGAAAAAAGTGCTCACAAGCTTTAAAATATTGACCCTAAAAATGTTTAAACATTGAAATTTGTAAAGCATCTGAACTAATGTATTTGGTTAAAATACTAATATGTTTTCAAGAGAAACAGCAGCAAAACCAGTTTGATAAATGGTCAATTTTGAAGTTCTCAAATATAAAGCCATCACAGTTCACACACAGATACATTACCTAAAGTGCCTCTTTTATGAAAAAAAAAAACTCAATTCCTGCTCCCCCAAAATAAAATCTGAATGACAGAACAGTCATGAATTTTAACAAGGTAGCCACCCACCCCCCCAGAAAAAAAACAAAATGCACAACACAACGACCTCACACAGACCCTAAAATACTGACTCCTGAGAAAGTAACTTACCATAATGCCTGTAACAATGTCACCTTTCTTCCTGTCCTTCAGGTGGTCTCCATTTTCACAGATGCAGAGGAGGTAGTTATCAGGGACATCTGCTGTTACCTCTTCAACATCTACAGACTCATCCAGCTTCAACAAAGGGTTCACATGTAGCAAATGTTAAAAAAAATACTACACAGATTCGGGTGGACTGTTCACAGGTCTTTCCAGACCTTAGTCCTGCACTCTCAGACATTAATCTAACAATCTTTTTAGCTCCTGGTATGTAGTAAAGTTTGTTTGAGAAATTAAATTAAAAACGTGAGGTAGACAAAAGAGGATAGAGCTAAACAAAAAATGGAAGAAATTAAACTACATTGGTTAAAAGGTGTTTCTCTCTTATTTTAACATTTTTTAGGCAAGACCTGCAGGACACTGCAGATTTGGTAATTCCACTCCATGATTTCAGAAAGCAACTACAGTAAACACAACAAGCCTACAACCCTGAGGAGACTGAATTGTTTGTAAAGACAGCAAGATGTTTTACCACTACATGAAATTAAAAGAAGTTGAATTTCTGCTGCCACTCTTATGTCAGCCACGAGCTGCCCATGTTCCATCCTGGTGATAACACTAGGATCAAGGCCTCCCAAAGGTTAGTCTGAAACCAAGTTTATTTGAAAAGGATATCTTCTCCAATAAGTGTAGACTTAGTGTAGAGGGCAGTCAGCTTACGGCTGAAGAGAGAGCTTTTATTTTCTCCAGCAGCTTTCAGTGCTGCAGTTTCCATTTGTTTTATTACTCCAACCTACAGGCAGACAAACAAGAAACAAAGTTAGATCTCTGGCAATAAATTATTATTTTTTTTTGTTCTATATATCTGGTAATCTTTTAAGATGTACAAACAACAAATGCATAATTCAAGCCGGAATATGTGATCAACAGAAAGGGCTCTCACATCAATCCTACTAATGAGATTATAAGGCAGTGCTTTTCCTGACCCTTTTCCTATTCCTGACTGCCCTCTCAACTTCTGTACCTGTGCTTCTCATCCTATTTTGAAACAATTTAGCTGGACATCACTGCTTATTAGAGAATGGTTGCTTGCATCCAATTTAGAATCAACAAGTCCTTTTCTTAGAAATAGAAGCAGAAAAAGAGGCTATCACCAGAAAGCCACAGAATTACAGGGATCCAGAACAGGAAGGAACAGAGAAAAAAACAATGGGCTGGGATAAGAAAAACAAGGATGTGAGGAATAATAACACAGAGAGAGGATATGTACATTTCTCCTTATTAAATGCAAAAACTTGATACAAAAACACTGAGAAAAATAATTGTTCTGGAACTGTTCCTGAAAAAATGAAGAGGCTTCTCTGAATCTGCTAATGGCTCATGACACCCCCAGCACAGAGAAATTGAAACAAAGGGAAGTTGGCCATTTCTGCTGCAGGAACCAGGGATAACGAGCTGCCCACTTCTCAGCCACCAAACCAGGGGCTGGTACAAGCAGTGCAAGTCCTCTCAGGGCTGGTCTGTGCTCAATTAGCAGGAGTCAGGGGTAACCTTGTGTCCCTTGGCTACGAGGCGGCGCACGTGGACGAAGAGCCGGTGGCTGGGGATGCTGGCAGTCATGAAGTTGTGATCCAGGTGACAGTAAATGTTCAGCTCCTTAGCTGCAATCTGCAACAAGAGTCAGCCAACGGGTCACAAAGTAATTTAAGAAGGTAAGGGGCTTATCTCCATGACAACAGTGATGCACAACTACAATTAAAAGCTGGGTGACAAAGGGAAAACATTCCAGGAGAAAGCCCCTCCACCTCCCTGTCCCAGCATTGCCATAAACAGGGGATTCACTATCACAGGCTGCAGGTGTCAGGTTTTAAGGTTGCACCTTGATCTTTACCACTGTGAGGTAAACCACCCACACTGCACACACGGGGTCTGAAACACAGCTCAGCAAAAGGTCAAATGACTTTCATGCCACTAGAAACGCAGCAGGAATGGAAGTACTTAGTTTGTGGTCATAAAGATGGGATTAACCTGGCCAATCAACTAAAATACTGAAAAATCAATATTGAACAGCAGTGGAAACTAAATACTTAATAAAAAAAGAGTAAAAACACTTACTAAAATGCGACATTACCATGTGTGATTTGTATGGTCTTTTTGCCCCGTAGCAAAAAGGCAGGTGTTCACTGAGCAGAGGATGGGGTACTAGGCAGGACCTGCAGCAAACACTAACCTATCTGAACCGCCTATTTCTATTTCTGGGCTCTAAGTACACCAGCAAATGAGCAGACAAATTACACAGCACAAATATGATGGGGAAAATGAATTCCCAGTAACCAAGCAACATTTCTCACTGGTCTCAAGTGTGAAAATAGCACCAAACAAAGGTTGGTAGCAACGACTTTGGGACAGATCATAAGGAAAAGCATTATGAAACATTTACAAACCATCACTTTAACATTATGTTTGTTATATAGTCCTTTCCAGTTCCTACAGATCTGCCATGTGTGGTGCCACATCCAGGCATGCATTCAGGATGGTCTCTGCACCCAGGCTATACCTGCTACATTCATATTTTCTAACACCACTTGCTCCACTGCCTTTCAATCTGAAAGATTCCTAATGTCATATATTACAGTTATATATTATATATATATTATAGTAGAGTTCTGAGCCATGACATACAATTTCACCTCAGAAAGTTTTTCAGCTTTAACTCTGACAAAACTCTGACTGGGAACTCACCTTAAATTCTCAATATACCAGGCAGCAAGCGCTACCATGTGACTACAAAATAATAAATGCCATTTTGGCAAAAAAAAAAAAATGTGTGCATAATGGATAGTCTTGAATTTCAGCACACAGAGATTTTTCATCCTGATTTCAAGTAGCAAAACAAAACAAAATACCCCTTAAAACCCAAAGAAGTCTCCCTTCCAGAACTGGCCACAGACCTAGGATGACACCAGCACAATCCAAGTATCTTTCCATAATCTTGGAAAAAATTACCTCTGCATCTTGTCCAAAGAACCGGTATTTGTATCCACATTCCACACACAAAACAGCATCTTTGTACTTTTTCTTCATTTCTATGAACTGGAGTTCTAGTGGAGTGTAAATGCTTTTGGTTCTTTTATTAAGATTTGTATCTGAAGAATTTTGAGAATTTTCATGGGACTTGAGAGATGCAGAAAACTGACTAAGATTATGTTGTAACTCCTCCTGTAAATAAAAGGTGAAAAAGTGGAAATTAGGAATCATCAACCAAATCAATAGCCCCCTCCTTGGTTTGCACTGGCCACAGAGCTACAGATTGCTCTTGCATTGAAGAGCCCCCAAACTGCAGCACAACTATTGCAGCAAGATATCCAGAACACAGAATATCTGGAATGAAAAGGAATTAAAAAATCATGAAAGTCAAAGTTAGCTAGTCCTCAGACACCTGAGGGGAAATCAGAACCCTACTGTAGCATAAGCTCTCAAAGCACAGACCAAGACAATGCAGGCTGCAGAGAGTGGGCAGTCTAAACAGGCCATACACTGAAATAAGGATGAATTACTGCTCCAGTTTACAGGTGAGAAACTCCAGCACGAAGAGATTAATGATGTTCCAAAAATCCACAGTAAATCAAGAAATAAACCAATGTGAGTCTCCGTTCCCTGTCTCAGCCACCAGAACTGTACTCCTTCTCCAGTCTGCACTTCATCCCTAAGCTCAGCAATCCTCTCAGAACAATTTAAACACAGAAAATCAGCACTACAGTTTCTAAAACCTTAAATGTGAAATGCTTTGAGCTCACTGTGTCTGCAGTTTATCATTTGCAATGACATTATGTAGCCTATTCTTGCCAAGCAACTTCAGCTCTACCACGCTGTGCTGCTCTGTATGGTCAGCACCGTGATGGCTTCAGAAGTGCAGAGAGAAATGCTGAAAAGTGTTTCACTTACAGCAAAATTCCTCCTCACTTATATCACAAGATCAAGTACAGATAATATTGGTTAAAAAAAATACAAAGACAACACCCTCCAGAATTTTTTAAAGCATATGACTATTTAAAACAAAATTAATCAGGTTGTGCTATTAACTCCGCATCTGCAAACAAAGCCAATAAACTTCCATTTCTTGTAATCTCACCACGGGTCCTGCTCAGATTACCAGAAACAAAGTGAGCAGACTGTTTAGCAACAATGGTAATTCAGAAAAAAAACAATCAAACAGAGATAGCTTAAATCATATATCCTTTGGGTCACGGGAATGTACAAAGCGTGCAGTCAGAGAACAACCAGGGAAAAACAGCACTTAGCTGTACCTGCAAAATCCCCACAACTGCACACCACTAAGCCAGAGAACCCAGCCCAGCTCAAACAAAGCTGCCCTGCACCCAGAACTTGGGTGCCTTCAGGAGCTCAGATGTCTCTGCTGCACAATCCTCAGCCCTCTTTGGTCCAAGGTCTGTGCCAGCCAAACAGGGTGACCTTGTCTCATTTTACAGGAAACTGACAAACCCCGTGAAATAAGGGCATGAAAAAAGGCACAAGGAGTAGAAACAAACACAAAAGCTGACTTGTTGAGATGGTCTAAGTTACCAGCTGGAGGAAGGTTACCAAGTAAAAAGCAAGACACAAACAGCTAAAAGGACCCCTTCCAAGGAAGGCAGGAAAAACCAGTTTTCTGGGTTCTCCAGCTGACCCCATCCTCACAACCTCAACCCCTTACCACAAGAGAATTCTCTTGCCACAAGCTGCTCACTTCAGCATTTGGACCCCACATCCCCAGCTGAAGACCACAGCCCTCAGACAGGGAAGGTTAAAATCATCTTTTCATACAAGCTCCTTCTGTCAAAAAGCCAGCTGCAGAACTCCGCTAAAGAGCAGCCACCACACTAAGCCATGAGATGCATTCTAGGACCTGAGCAGCTGACCCCCAAACCCCATCATTAACTTATGTTAATGGGAAGCAAAATACTATTATTCCACTCAAGTCTCTTGACTCGTACCATACGTATCTTCATGACAACTTTTTCTGTGAGCTACCCCTACCTCCTGCAGATGAAAAAGCAGTGATACCTTTACTAGCTAGATTTACCAGCAGCTAGATTAAGCCACATCTCAGTGATAACCCTACACAACATTTTTGCAAAGAAAGCCCGTTGGAAGTTTGAGAGCCCACGTGTGGAAATGAAAGCCAGCTGAGCGAAGTGCCTCTCTGAACACGTGCCACAGGGTGTTACAGCTTCCCCCACAGGCACAGGTGACACCAACAGGGCTTCTGTCCCCTCGTGACGCTGCTGTTCACTGAGGAGCCGGACCAGCCAACCTGCTCACCATGCAGGGAGCTTCAGGAAAACATCTGTACACAAACACAGCTCCGTGGGGATCTGCTGCACCGCTCCACGTCAGAGCACAGGAGCACAAAGGGAAGCTTGCGCCAAAGCTTGCTGGTTTAACTCACAACAAGCAATCCACACAGCCCACAGGGCCAAAGCTCTGCATACCTTCTGTGCGACCTTTGGGCCGCTGTCCCAAGATGGAAGAGGATTTTTCAGCTCTGAGCTCCTCCCAGTAACACTGGGACATTTTTCTTTCTGCTGAAAGCCATCCTCTCGAAGGCTGGAACACTGCTGGTTTGAATCACTGCAGAACTCTCTCAGCCTGCCCAGAGTTTCCAAACAGATACGGGACTTCTCACGCTTCTGAGATTCTTCTTGGTGAAAATTAACAACAAAAATATATTAACAACTTATTTTCTAAAAGAGAACGTCCATTAGAAGAACATCAGTAAGCACAGACACAACCATTTCTCTTCCCTGCGTTCCCTCTCAGCTCCCACTGCAGTATTTCTGCCAGCCTGAGAGAATCATGCACTTAAACAGCTTGGTTAACTTCCCCAGAAAACCAGCATTCCTCACTTGTGTGCCTCTCTCTATGTGGGAAAAGATGCATCATTATTTTTCAAACTGACAACTGCACAGCTAAAGTTAGCTAAGAATACTGGGAATCAAGCAGATTTTCTTTCAATGCTTTTCTTTAAGCAGACAGTATTGCCTCTTGAGGGTGTACTAGTGATACTTCAAAGCACCACATCAACAAATTTAATACCGTTCCCACTCTGAAACTCAAGAGCCTAACTCTTCCTATTGCAACATAATGAACTTTACATTCACTGGTTTTCATACCAACATTAACTTATTAAATTCTCTGCTCAAAGCCAGAACCCAGGCATTTCTGAGGCAACAAAGCAGCTGACAATGAAAACCTCATTGACTGGCTGCCAATGCTTGAAGGTTTGCTAAGAGTCAACTCACTTTTATCCTGAGCCTTCAGTGGGTTACAGATCTCTTCCAGGGTAATTTGTCGTGCCTTGGTCTTCTTCTCACAGGGTTCATTGCTTTCAGTAGATGTGCTCCTTTTTGTGCCACATTTAGAAGCCTGAAACATAAATTAAACTAATAACTTCAGTTACTTTTTCTGTTTGCTCTTCTCTGAAAGAGAACACAGCAATTTCACAATAAGTTAAGGCAAAATAGTCCAACCTCCCACCCCTGGTATTGCTGATGGCCAGGATGGAGGAGCTTGGAGCATCCTGCTCCTTAGATGTCTTTTGAAACATGCAGTTAGAACACTATGTAAATAGAAAATTCACCAATTTTGCTGTTTCATCATTGACCTTTTGCAAGAAGCTTGACCAAATAAGAATTAATTTCTAAGTCCAACAAAACATAAACACTTTGCACAGGAGCACACAACAGGTGCTTCCAGCAGCTTGCATCTACATCTCATCTCGTGACCACAGATGGTTTAACCATGGAATTTCAATTTCCTTAGAACTAAGCAGGAACTCCAGCCTCACCAACTAAACCCAAAACCTCCACATAACCACAGCCCACATGAGTAGCAGTTTTCAAGTCCACTGTGAAACATCACCAAAGTAACACTAATTAGTAAGTTTATTCTACTAGGGCAGAAAGATGTAATCACACCTTTCAAAATATATTTGGACCAAAATAGCTGACTTGAGTCAGAGGTAAAAAAACCAAACACCCTTCCCGGGAGGGAAGGGGCTGGAAACAGAAACTGCAGTGAGAGTGGAAAACACAAACTCAGAATGAAACCCAACTGCTGAGACACAGCCACTTTTCCCCAGTGCTGACAGGGAAGATCTGCAGGCTTTTTTGGCCGTGCACCTACCAGCACTCAGACCCCGAGTTACCTAACCTCCAGCACCTGGGACAGGAGCATGGCTCACAGCACGCCAGAGCTGCCCAAAAATGGGATTCATTGCTCAGCGTGCAGCAGCCAGCAGTGACACCCTGCAGAGGACTCCAGCCCAGCCCTGCCCTCTCCCTGCCCTCACTGGCGTTCCTGACACAAAGCAGAGCCGGGGTCTGCCCCAGCGCTGCCCCTCTGCCAGCAGTGACCGAGCTGCCGCCGGGCTGGGCGGCCCCGGCCGGGCTCTGCCCTGCCCAGGGCCGGGGCGGTGCCTGCAGGGCTGGGTCTGCTTCTGCCCTGAGCATCTCCACCAGGCTGCCAGCCACGCAGGGCTTGCGCCAACATCCTGATCTACATCCCTAAAACCTGCTAATTGCAGGAGCCCTTGACTAAGGGATGCAGCTGCTGCCTGTCCCACTGATCAGGTCCCACTTCTGGCTGATCAGGCTTCAAAGAACACAAAGACCAAACCTCAGAGAACATCCTTACTTATGAATATCTTAGCATATTCCACATTTTGCAGAACTGGAAGGCACAGGGGTTCAACACTGAAGTCCCAATGATATGGACCAACATGCTGGCCTTGCCCAGATCAGCAAACCGGTGCCAAGCTCCAGCTCCTCTGCACCAGGCACATCCTGTATCACAGAATCCTGGGATACCTGGGGCTGGAAGGGATGTCTGGAGATGACCTGGTCCCCAGCCCAGGCCAGGCAGGGTGCCCTGGGCAGTGGCACAGGACGTGTCCAGCTGGGGCTGGCACGGCTCCACACAGGGACACTCCAGGCCCTCCCTGGGCAGCTGCTCCAGGCCTCTGCCCGGCCCCGGCGCGGCGCGGAGAGGAGCGGAGCGGAGCGGCCATGGCGCGCTCGCTCAACTCCATCGTGGCCGTCAGCCAGAACATGGGCATCGGCAAGGACGGGCGGCTGCCCTGGCCGCCGCTCAGGTACCGCGGGCCGACGCCGCTGGTGGCCTCCCCTGGACCCTCTCCAGCAGCTCCGTGTCCTTCCTGCCAGGCTGCTCCCCGACTACCAGGTACCAGCGCCCACACAGATCGTACAGCCGGGACCCGGCAGCCTGTCCCGCAGTGTCCGTGCCCCGCTCAGGGATTCCGGGATGGATACCGGGATGGATACCGGGACAGCGGGCCGTGCCCGCCCCGCCCCACCCTGCGCACCGTGTAGCGGGGCCCGCACTCGCCGCTGCTCGCCGCCGCCCCGAAGAACCTGCTCAGCACCGGCTGCCCCGCGGCCCCGCCGCCGCGCCGGCCCCGCGGCATGGCCGGGCCCCGCCGCGGCCCGACGCCGCTGCGCCCCCCGCCGGCACTACAGCCCCCAGCGTGCCCCGCGCCGCGCGGCAGCAGGCGCGCGCGGCCGGGCCGCGCGGGGCGCGCTGGGAGCTGTAGTGTTCGAGGGGATGCTCCGTGAGGCGGGAAAGCGGCGGCGTGGCGGGAGCGCGGCTGTGGGGATGTTTTTTGCGTGGGTTCTCTCTCTTGCCGTGGCCGCAGGTTATCGCTCATGCGAGCACAGCTGTGGGACAAAGGTCCCTCCTCGGCTGTGGCATCGGCCCAGTTCTGTCCCACAGCCCCTCGCCGGGCTCCTGCAACATTCCCATCACGTGTGGGGATTTTTCGTTGAAATTGGAGAACTTGTAAAAAATTAAAAAAAAAAAAAAATTAGAGAAGTTATTCTTAAGACACGTTGTAACGCAGTTCGTGCTTCCCCGGCAGGAATGAGTACAAGTACTTCCAGAGAATGACGAGCACGTCCCGTGTGGAAGGTAACGTGTGGGTGAGGGCACCCGGAACTCGGGATTCCGCATTTCCCTGCCTGCCCTCACAAGTATTTCAAGTATTTCCCACCTGTATTTCAGCCCTTTGCAATCGCTCGGGGTAGATGAGGAAAGAAGACGAGGCAGGTATTTCCGAGCAATGCAGGTGATCTCTTAGGGAGCAATTTTCAAGTCCTTCTTCCTTCAGAATGGCAAACTTCATATAAAGTTTACCTAACAAGTCTTTACGCGAAACTCCAAGTTAAAATGGGAGGGTTTTCACAAGCTGCCTAATTAGCAGAGGTGGTTTGTTTTTCTCAGTCGGCGTTAGCTTATCTAACTTGTTTGCTGTGGCTCAGCCTTGGCCATTCGATCCACCCCTCTGACCCTTGTGACAGTAATTTTGCCGAGTTTTCTGAGTGCTGAGCCAAATCCATGCACCAGAAAGTCCAAACTATGGAGCAGAAATACTGCAGTTGTTTGTCACTTTTCCATGGTGTGCTTAGGGTTTTTTTAATGCTGTTAAAACTCACTCGTTTGATAAAAACTCACTTCTGGTCAGCTTCATATATTGCCTTGTTTTGATTAGGTGCCTTACTCCATTTTCTACCTTCAAACTCTGTTTTGGTTAGGCCACTTACTCAATTTTCTGAATCGAATGTCTGTTCCATAATCCACAAGGAATGTCTAATCTCATTTTGAAACAGTTCTGAGTAAAAGACTTTACATACTTTCAGAAGACCCGATTCAGCCCTTTGCAACCCTGTATGTACTAAAAAAGGGCAGAACACAACTGGCAGTTCTAAGTCTTTTTAGATGTCTGCAAGTTGCATCTCACCTGGCAGGAGTAAGCTGTGATCAAGAAAAAAGATGTTTGAAATATAATTACAAAGAAACATTTTGCTCTGTCCTGCCTGCAGATCTCTTGATGAGCTGTGATCTCAGATGCTAGGCAGGTAAAGTGCTTCATAACCAGACTTCTTAATAGATTATGCTGCCATAAATCTTCACACCAGGTCACCTTTGCCTCTGTTGTGTCTCAGCCTGGAAACAACGTGGAAATAGTGATCATGTTGGCATTGTGGGGTTTTTTCTCTTGATAAAAAGAGAAAACTTTTTAAAAGGTTTTTAAAAAGGAACTCCTTTTCCTCATAAAGAGGAACATTCATTTCCTTAAGAGATTTGCATATGAGAGGTAATCAGGATATGAATGCTTGGGTTTGGTCAGAAATTATATTTATGTGTGAACGTTAGAGTGTGATTGATCACCTGTAGCACCTTGGCTTTAGATTTAATTTGACTGGTTCTCCTAGAAATTGTGGTGGGTTTGTAAATCAGTTCTCATTTGAGAACTGGGGCCTGAGCTTGTGCTTTTGCTAACTGCTGCAGAGGGGCTTGGAAAGGCAGGGGAAGTCCATCAGTGCCTCTAAACAATTCAAATCAATTCTCTCCTGCTCAGGTAAACAGAATGCAGTGATAATGGGTAAAAAAACGTGGTTCTCCATTCCTGAGAAGAACCGCCCTTTAAAAGACAGGATTAATATTGTGCTCAGCAGGGAGCTCAAGTAAGTATGATAAATAAGGACCCTGTAAAAGAAATAAAAACCTGCACCAAAAATGTCTGGTGTGTTACAACATACAGTAGTTCCAAATGTACCATTTTTGATACCTGTTTAGAAAGCATTTCTGCTGTTGGTTCTGAGTGTTATGACTACTTTACTCTGAATTTTTAATTATTTAGAATTCATTCACAAGGTGATTGTCATTACTTTGCATCGTGAGTACTACTTTTAGCTCACAAACCATTTGACAATTTTCAATAGTGTTTGTGACTCGTGTATTTAACTGTATTTCTCCAGTTCCTGCTTACACTGGTGGCCCCTAAGTCCATTTTTTGAAATTCATTTTTGTTAGGATTTGTGGATGAATGATCCTTTTTCAGAACTTCTTGAATGCACGACCCACAGTCACGCAAATAGTTTTAAATGGAAATATCCACTTGTAGTGCTTTATTGCTTTGGAGGATGTTGGTAGATTTGCAGGTGATTATGTGAGAATATTGGCTTTTCAGCTGGTTTTGTTGAATGAAATATTAATGTTCTGAAATTCAAGTCAAAATCTACATTTTATTTCTTGATTATCCTGTATTTAATGATCTATGTTTAATTTATAGATTGTGTCTTTATCTTCTAGATATGTAAATTTCTCAGTTACTCTTTTTCAGAAACACATTGTGAAATTCCAGACTCTTAATTTATATTGCCTTCTAAATTACAGTTAAGCTGTGATCTGTTGAACAATCCTACAGTCAGATGAGACTTCTAACATAATTTGGCAATAACAGGCACTTCAAAATAATTAACTGACGAGCTGCATGTAGTTATTTGTTAATTCAGCAAAGCACATTTTGTGTCTAGAGTGTGTTGATGATCATGATGAATTGTCCTTGATTTATTTAGTAATAGAGCTTTGCTTTTTCTAGGGAAACCCCGAAAGGAGCACATTATCTTTCCAAAAGTCTGGATGATGCTCTAGCTCTTTTGGATTCACCAGAGTTAAAAAGCAAAGTAGACATGGTTTGGATCGTGGGAGGCACTTCAGTGTACAAGGTACATTTAGCCTCCTCCTAAATTACTAATTTTCTGTGATGGGATGAGGATGAAGCTCCTATTACTGCTGCTTTAGGAGGTGCTTCCCCTTCATATTACCAGCAAACTGCAGTGATTGCAACAGAACAGGTCTCAGAGAGTGGGATCTCAGCTCTCAAGTTCAGAATACCTGTCTAGAAACTGAACATTGCTCTTGCCAGTGGGCCAGTGTCACACTGTTGTTGTGCTTTTGAGAGCTTTTCATAAGTACCTAAATTGCTGGATTCTTCAGAACAAGCCCGTATTGTTATGTTTATTTTACTGAGCCCATGTTTTTGTATTTATTTTACTGAGATTGCTGACTGACCCTGCAATGGGTTTGAAAAGAAAAAAAAGGAAAAGTGCTCCAGCTTTTTTAGCCAGAGTATGACGCTTTGTACATGTAAATGGGGAAGAAAATAGGATTTAGAGAGAGCTGACAGGTCATGGTGTCAGCAAAAACAAGAGATAACCATACAACAAAAGGTCGCACTCACTCTGCTTTCCCATCCAGCAGTGTTCCTAGTGCTCCCACTCCCTGGGTCAAGAATTGTAAAGCAAATTCTGTTTAACAGTAAAAGGAGCAGTGCTGCTGTGCTGTAGTCATTTCAGACTTGCTGGGAGGTGCACTGCAGGTGTTGGGCACTCGGACGTGAGATGTGTGATGGCAGTGCCATAATGCACCTGGTGGGAGATCAGGGCTGATACTGTGCCCTGTGCACGGGGTAGGAAAATGCGTTTTTCTGGTGCCCTTACACTTTGTGCTCTTCCTGAATCTCTCCTCTGTGTCTGAGGAAATGCATCTTTCACAGTAGAAGCAGTGAAGTAGATTGCTAAGATTGCAAGAAGATGAGGCACCCATGGTTCCTCATGGTGAAGTCCCCCATGTGTTGCATGTGCAAACACATTCAGCCTGTAATCAGATGTTATCCTACAGTAGAAATATCCTTGGCTCTCTGCCGTGACAGTGCCTGTGCCATGAAGAGGGTTTCTGGAGAGACCTTCTCCTCACAGAGGGCAGAGCCAGAGCCAGCTGTGAGCAGCAGCATTTGCACCTTCCCTACCACAGGCTCAGCTCTAAAGAGTTATTGTTTCTGCTGCTTCTTCCAAGAGCATCTGTCTTGAAGGCTTCCGGTATTTGGAAGAAAAGAATGCCTTTTTTTAGACCATTACTCACCAATACTGACATTACAAATTGGCAGTTTTGATAGAGAATAAATTGGAATGTACTGCTTGTGCTGATCAGTACAAGGGAATGTGTAAAGTAATAGGAGACCTGGTTACCCTGGACGTGGACAAGCATTGAGAGAGATGGGAATGTCCATTGTGGAGAAGGGAAGGCTCCAGGGAGAGCTCAGAGCCCCTTCCATGCCTAGAGGGGCTCCAGGAGAGCTGGAGAGGGACTGGGGACAAGGATGGAGGGACAGCACACAGGGAATGGCTCCCACTGCCAGAGGACAGGGCTGGCTGGGAGCTTGGCAATGGGGAATTGTTCCCTGGCAGGGTGGGCAGGGCTGGCACAGGGTGCCCAGAGCAGCTGGGGCTGCCCCTGGATCCCTGGCAGTGCCCAAGGCCAGGCTGGACACTGGGGCTGGAGCAGCCTGGGACAGTGGGAGGTGTCCCTGCCCATGGAACAGGATGAGCTTTAAGGTTCTGTCCAACCCAAACCCTTTTGTGGTTCTAAAATTTGACCTGTTTCCTCCCTTTCAATCATCTACTCAAGACAGCTTTGCCATTGCCAGAGAACCATTGCCATTGCCTCCAGAGCCCACGTGGTTATTTCAGACAGAGGCTTATAGTCCTGTGGAGCCTTTTAGCACAGCTCCTAGCCTTAGCACTGGATCATCAGTTAATCAGTTTGCCTTGGGGGGCTCCATCTTGATCAGGGCTGTTGTCACCAAGCTCTGGGAATGATCCTGCAGGCCTGTTTCTGTAGATGGTGTGAGCAGGGAGTGTGCCATGACCTTCCAGGCCTTTGCTGATTTTTGTTTCCCACACCCCTGGGGGTGCCCTGGGCTATTGAGGATGTCTGGGCACCTGCCCTGCTGTGCCCTCAGCTTGGCCCACACACCAAGCTGGGGCACCAGCCAGACCTGCCCCCATCCAGGGAGCTGGGCCAAGGTGCAGCAGCTGCCCTGCTGTGTGAGTGCACGTTTGGGACACAGGTGTCCAGTCAGTCTCAGCTACAGGTGGCTGAGGTGCCCTCTCCAGCCTTTAGGAACTGAGGCAAGCCAAGGTGCAGCAGCATGTGCTCCAGATGCCATTTTGGGACAGGATGCCGCCTGCCAGGAGTGGGATGGAGGCAGGTGTTTGCTGCTGTTCACATCCTTTTCCTCCTCAGACTGCAGAAGAGGGAGAGCCAAATCTGTGAACATTTGTAAGGACACAGAGCATCCCTCTGTTGGTTCTGGCCATCTCTTCCACTGCCCCTTGGTTCCAGGACACAGTTCTCTCCAGGCTGTGGGAGGATTGGCATCAGCTGCCTCAGGCTCTCTGTGAGCTGTGGTGGCCATCCAAGCCCTTGTGTAGGTCACACTGATGCTGTGCTCACACACTCTAGGAAAACCTACCTGACCTCTGCAGCAGGGAAAGGGAGAGCAGTGGGGACAGGGAGAGGCTGGGTGGAGTGTTGGTATTGGCAAGCGAGAGCAGGAAGGATTGAAAACAGCTCCATCAGTTCAGTGAGGGTTCAGAAGAACTCATGTGGGTGTCATCTTCTTGAATTTGACTGGACACTGATCCCTCATCAGGTCTGTTATCTCCTAATGTAGCCACAGGGCAGTAGCAATGCCCCCAGGAAAGCTTTTGGGCTTCTGACAGCACAGACTTACCGGTTCATTTGCTTGGATATTAGTGCAGTGCCATCCCCTGTGAATGTTCTGGATCTCCTGAGCTCCAGGAGGAGGTGGGGTTGCTGTTGTCTGCCTGGATGAGCAAGGAGGAGCCCAGCAGGGGGTTACAGCAGTAATGAAGCTGTTACACATCATGGCAGGCACTCTGTGATTTTGTGTGAGCACTTGGCATTTGGAAGGCTGTCTGCTGGCTTGTGAGTTCTTCTTGTGTGCTGGGAGCCTGTGGTGCTGGCCCTGGAGTCCCTCACAGCTCTTAGAGCTCATCAGATGTACTGAGCTTCTGGCTCAGTTTCATCCCCAAGACATTTCATTCATGAATATCAAACCTGCTCCCACATACAGCTCAAGCATGGTGAGTGGGGACAGTTGGAAGATTCATTAACAGGTGAGCAGTGATCTTGGAAGTCTCTTCCAGCCTTCTACGATTCTACAATTCTCCACCAGCCTTCCCCATTCTACAATGGTGATTTCCAGACCAGGTTTCTGTTCTAAGACACTGCTGCACCTGTGTGGAGGTATTGTCTCTTGAGAGCTTCAGGTCTTGGCCTTGACTCTGAAAAATAGTGCTCTCTGGACATCCTGGGGGGTCAGAGGCCCAAACAAAAGTTCAGGCTGGAAAGGGCTTGAAGGCTCATGTCATTCCAAACCTCTTGTGATGATCTGGGAAGCCTTCCACTAGATCAGGTTACTCTGAGTCCACTCAGTATAAGTTGTATCAGTCTCTTTTAACTACATTTAAACTGTGTGGTTTAGATGGGTCAAAAACAACATTGAGGTTTTGCTAGGAATAGGACCTCTAAGTCCATCACATCCTTAAATATTAAATAGGATGTTACAAAACACAAAACCAACAACAAAAAAAAAAAAAAACCAAACCATACGCATACAAATCCACAAAAACCAACAGACCCAGGTGTCAACTTCCTTATGTTTATGGTGTGGTTTCATGATGTGTGAAGTGAGTCCATCACCATTCCACCAGCTCAGCTCTGTGCCTCCTCTAATTTCGGTCCCAAAAAAAGGGTGAAACCAATGGAGTGGGCTGGACAGGGCAAGACTGAATTGAGTATCAGTGAGGACCTACTTTATTCCTTGTGGGAATAAAGCATTATGACAAAACTCTTTAGCCACCCTGCCATGTCCTCAGCAGTATTTCACTGAGGCAGTGTCAGAGTCCAGGCCTCCCTGAACAGACTCCTTTGGAGGCTCCAGCTGTGGAAGGTTTTGTGTTTGATACAAAATCTGCTTATCTGAGGTTTTCTGAAGTTGCCTCTGGAGAACAGGGGGGGGGCCAGGTGTTCCCAAGGGAACAGGAGCTGTCCCCATGGGCAGTAGTTGGAGTGGCAGGGCTCAGGGTGGTGGGACAGGTCCATGGGGCAGGGTCTGGCCCCATGACCATAACCAGGTGAGGCATAGCCTGGGGGTGACCGGGCTGGGGCTGGGGCTGGGTCAGGATGGCAGCCAGTGGCTGATTTAAGTGTGTGCTGAAATCTCAAAGCAGGAGAAAGTTGCCCTGAACAGAGCAGAGGAAGTGGAGAAGTGTTTGTCCTTGCCCCTTGCATGCTCACTGCCAGGCACTGGGCACTCCCTGCTGCTGAGGAGCAGTATGTGGCCCAAAACCAGCCTGTTGCTCTTCCCCAAACTCTTTTCTGTTTGCTGTTTACTGTTCGTGGGCCACCTACACACACAGGCCTCCAGAGCCTGGAGGCAAACTGAGGAAGCATCTGCACTTCTTCTATGAGTGTGGGGACAGTGACACAGCTGGCTGGTTCATTCAGCTAATGAAACCATTTCCCTAGAACAGAGGTCACCATCTGGTCTCCCTGGATTAAATTTAACTTCCTTTGCACCGCCTGTGGTCGGTCCCTGCCTGTGCTCCTCCCTGGCCTGTTGTGGTGGTAGAGAGTTCTTGATAAAGCTGGATTCCCACAGGGTTGGATAGAAAGTTGGTTTGTTCTTCTGCTACAAAGCAGAAGTGTCTCTGTTAACAGAACACGTTTTTATTTGTGAAGCACATTATTATTCTGTCATTTTGCAAGTGTGACTCTTCTTACCCCCCTGTCCCTAAACAAAGAAAAATACTAGTGTTTGTGTACAAACTGCATGGACACCAGTTCAGTGCTGTTCGATGCTTGTGTGCTGTGACTTACCTCTTTCATTTCTAACTGTTCTCTAGTAGAGCAGCTTTTCTACAAATTAGCCTCTCAGCAGTGGTTAATTAATTTTATTGGATTCCATTTGTTATTACTTGGTTCCTGTGCTTGTTGAAGTACTACCTAATAGCCTGCTGCATGGTGAGTCACCTTCCACAAAAAGCATTGCTCGTTGCCAGTTTAAGCGAAAGAGAGGAGCAGCTACAAGCTTTTCAAAAATGTATTGTAACCAGCCCTAGCGTAGCTTTCCATGGGTTATTCTAATGCCCACAAGGTCTGGAAGAGCTGCCGTTTCTCAGTCTCACAACAAAATGTATATTCCTTACTCCTGAATTTGTTGGTGAGAACCTCACCTAACAAACATTATCTTGGAACATTTTCATCCAAGGACCTTGGAAATGTAAAAGCTTTCAGCACATGTTACCATTTTGCCACAATCCAGAGATCCAACTTGGAAGTTAAACTAAGGGGTAGATTGATGTCTGGAATTCCAAAAATACAGCACAAATCCCTCACAGTGATATTAAGTATCAGAACAAATTACTTTGAGGTGTGGGCATCTCTCACCACTTAAACCTTCCTGTCTCCCAAAGAGGTGTGATTCAGAAATTGCTTGTTGCTACTGGGCCTGCTGTTCCTTTCTTCTCACAGGGCCATTCAAATTTTGTTCTTAACTTCTGCCAGATACCCCAGGCTCTGAGAATAGGTATTGCTGCCACTTACCTGTGGAACTGACACAGGGTGAAATTATCCCTTTAGAAAGTGCTCTTCAGCAGAGTCTAAAAGAGGAGATTCAGAGTGTAATTTTCATGGCTTTGCTGAAAGCCTGTGATACATAAAATTGTGACTGAATTTGTGTTGTTTCTAAAGGCAGCAATGGAGAAGCCAATTCATCATCGATTGTTTGTGACAAGAATCTTGAAAGAATTTGAAAGTGACACATTTTTTCCAGAAATTGATCATAAAGACTACAAGCTTCTAACAGAGTAAGTACCAAAATGAGGCTTGTCTTCAGAATAATCTAATTTGAATGTTTTAAGGGTTATGTTAAGGCCATGTTGGTTTCAGTTTGAGGTGAATTTTTTCCCAGAGTCATACTTCACTCACAACCTGGAATGGCACCACACTTTGCACAGATTTTCTTGGAACTTGCTGTGTTCTTCAACTTTCCTACGGTCTTCACAGTAAAGAATTGTCTATGTCAGTTTGCTGCAAAAGTAGCTTTTTCTTATTGTTTCCTGGTTTAGAATTACTCAAATATTTACTAAGCTTTGTAACTCTCAGTATGTTGTTAGTAAATAGTATTTGGTGTCTGAATGTCTTTGATTAATTGCCAGAGACAAATTAAATTGACTTGAATGGAGAGGCTTGAGCTTTATGGATTTCTAAGGTTATTCCTTCCCTCTTGAAAAAATTGCTTCTTCCTAACAAACATAGTAGGAAAAGGTGTACAAAAACTTACAGTTTCTGCCATTCACTGTGGTTTCTTGTATATTATCCTTGTCATATTCCAGTTGTGATTTTATGTCCTCTGCAACAAGATTACATTCAACAGGCACTGAGGAGCAGCAAAAATTCAGGCACCTGCCTCAAGAACCAGGGAGGACCAGACCTATTCTCCTCCTGCTGCTCCTGTTTTGGCTCTCAGCTGGTTACAGACCAGCAGTGGAAGAAATAGAAAGCATGAGGAGTGAAGCTCTCCTCGGGGGGCACAGGAATGGATTAGCACGGCTCTGGGGGAGGATAGGCAGGGGCAGGGAAGAGGGATGCAGGACAGACAAGGTGGGTGGGGAGGATGAGTCACCTTCTCCAACTCCAGTATATTGTGAACTACTCTGCTCATTTGAGTGTCCTGAGATCTGACCCAGTGCTCCCTCTTGGCTGTTCCTAGCTATACGTTGTTTTTGGCCAATGTACTGAAATGAACATTGGTGTTAGAACATGATTTTGTAAAATAACGGGTAATTTCCTCACTGAAGTGGAAACCTGATGATGCCAAACCTTACCAAATAAATTTAAAATGTATCTCTCCCTCAAAGTCAGTATTACTCATACAAAATCCTTCTTCTTTCATGAGGAGATGAAAAGATTTTTTTGAAAGCGTCTGTTAATAAGAAGTGGTTTAGAAAACCTGGAATATAGAAGAACTCTTTCTATGGTAGCAGTCACCTGTTTAGTAATCTCTTGCAGACTTGTAAAAAGCCTTGTCCTTAGCATTTCCTCTAGACCAACCTAGGAAAAGCAGGGCAAGGAAAAAAACCAGTGTTCCATAATCTCTTCTTCCTTAGTTGATATTTTGAATAACATATTGGAGGCTTTAATAAAAATGTTGGGTATTTCTTTAAGCCAAAAATAGGGGTGTTGTTTTGTGTCAGAGTATGCTTTCTTGATCTAAAAGATGTGCATATAAATAATGGATAGTAGTTAATATGCGTCCTAAAAATGGTGTACCTGTTCTAAAAGACAGTGTTTTCATTTTTTTTTTCCAAACATCTTGCTTTTCTAGTTGATTGGATAAATTACAGGTGAATCATAATGATACTCTTACCTGCTTTTTGGCTTTTGCTTTTTCTTCTCCTCTCTCCCTAGGTACCCAGGTGTCCCTGCTGATGTCCAAGAAGAGAATGGTATCCAGTACAAATTTGAAGTGTATGAAAAAACTGTTGTGGCGCAATAAGGGAGGCATTTTGTACTTCAGTGTAAGGGCAGGTATTTGAAACCATGAAGTTTTACTGAGTGTAAAGATACATTAAAATTTTGAAGAAAATCATGCCTGATGGTAAAATACCTCAGTAGTGAATGGTTCCAAAAAGCACACCCCACACTTTGAAGACACACCCTGCAGAAGGGAGTCTGAGGAATTGCACAACAAAGGTTGCAGGAGACCTTTCACTGATCTTAGAATCCGACAATTCCATGGATAAGGAAGGGCATTACACTGTGTCAGAGCTTTTCTACTGAAACAAAGGGTTTTAGTGTCTCTCTCCTTGTTCAAAACGTGCAGCACTGAGAAAGCACCAGTCCTCCAAGTGTGACTGGGATGTTGTATACATTTATAACAGCCTTTAAAATGTGTTGGTGTAGGGGTAAAGGTAAGCAGGCCCAGCAGGGAAAGGGGGATCAGGGAGTCTCACGCAGCAGTTGAGGGGTGCACTAATCCAGGACCTGTCACTCCAGGGTGCATCCCACAGGATCACCAGTCCTGCTGCAGGTGGGCTCCTCTCCCATGGGGCCGCAGGTGCTGCCAGGAGCCTGCTGCAGCAGGGGCTGCCCACGGGGTCACAGCCTCCTTCGTGCATCTGCTGCTGTGGTGTGGGCTCCTCAGGCTCCCTGTGTCCTTTGTCTGTGCTTCTCCTGCCTGACCTGCCCTGCAGGGCTCTTCTCCTCTCCCCTCCTCTCGCCCCAGCTGTTGTTGCCCACCTTCTGGACTCTGTTGTCCCAAAGGTGCCAGTGCCACAGGTGGGCTCAGCCTTGGCCAGGGCTCTGCCCTGGAGCCAAGGGCACTGGCCCCGCGGGACACGGGGGAAGAAGCTTCCAGCAGCTTCTCACAGAAGCTCTCCCTGCAGCCCCCCTGCCTCCCACACCTGGCCACACAAGCCCAGCAAAATCTGGTAAAGAAGTTTAATATTTGCCTAGATTCACAGCTGTGTGAAAGCTTTGCTGCTCTCATAAAAAGTCACTGTGTCATTTTGACTGCAGCCACTTCAAAGTGGAAGAAAACATACATTGATTTCGTAAAAGTCTGTGTTCCTAGGTTCCTGCCAAGCATTATCAGTAAAATGCAGTTTGTTTGTCAGTGTGATATTGAATAATCTATGTGACAAATGCGGGTTATAAGCAATAGTGGAGTAGTTCTGTTTCATCTTTATTAGATACAGTTAAATACAAAAATACTAAAAATATTAAACAAACTGATATAATTTACACTGATGATCCCTTAGAATATCAGCTGTGAGCACCCCTTGAATATCCCATGGCACTTTACTACAACACCTAGTTGATAAAAAACATATTTGTTGCAGCACCTGCTCTGAGTTGTCTCAGTTTTCTCTGTGTTTCCTTTGAAACTGTAAGCACTTCCCTGTATTGATCTTCTTCTTCCATGTGTGCTGATGTTACATCAATCGATAAAAACAAGTTTATGCTTACATAATGCTGCAAGAAGTCTCCAGAGTTTTAAAATGACGGCACATTGTTGAAGGGGAGGAAAGAGACTGCTACCAGGGAGATGTCATTTGTTTTATATAAATACGAGTCACAGTGACCTGGCAAGAGAATAACCTCCCGAAAGTGTTTAAAACATACCTGTTATAGGTCAGTGTTGAAAGCTCTGACAGTTTGCAAAGTACTGTGTTTAGGACAACTGACATTTATTAAAAGTAGGAGAAAAGGCTTGATGCAATGTTGGCTGAGGCCAACATACATTAGAAACTTTGTGCCTAAGTGCCGAGATAGGGTTCACTGAGGCCAGGATGTTTTGTAGCATCATTTCAGTTTCAAAGAACTTTTAACTTGGGTGCAAAAACAAGCCTGCTGAGAACATAAGTGGTTACTCTTGATTCTTTGTGGACTCACTCAGTCCTCTCCAGATTTAACTACGTTCTTTGTCAGATACAACAACAAATTAAGTTAATTGACGTTTCGTGGAAATGTGAACTTCTGTCTCCTGCTTGAAACTTTTCAGAACATAATGCTGTTCCCTCGGTGTAGCTCTCTGCCACAAAGATCCATTTTTGTTTGGCTTGGTTTTCAGTAGAAGCACTGCATTGGGACAAGCACCTTTTGTACCACAGCTTTTCAATACGCAGAGCCCTGTTGAGAACTAGGAGAATGCATTTGACTGCAGTGAAGCTGAACCCAAAAATCACGTTCACCCCACGGACAGACAGCCCAGGCACCACTCTTTAAGTACAGCAAGGTTGAAGGCTTGCTGTCTCAGGATGGGTGGGCAGAAGGGTGTGAGCCTGTGTGCTCAGCAAGCACATGCAGACTGTTTGCTGTCGGGTGTATTGTGAGGGTGGTTACCTGGCCCCTGTTACTTGCCCAGGGTAAAAATAAGTCTCTCATACTGTGGCTTGAAGAGAAAAAAAAACCCGTGTGTTCCAAATGCGTCTTCCCCATGTTTTGTTTACTCCTGTACCTCATTGATGAATGATTCCTTGAAAAGCCATAGATTCTCATTATGTCCAGTACAGGGGAAAATGTCATGTTTTTACCCAGTTCCATGTAGCTAAGTGCAATGAACAGCATCATGAGTGACAGTGTAATTACCAATCACCAAGAAAAGTCTATACAGGTATAATTTAATCCCCCTCATTCATGCTTTACCGGGAACAAACTGTTCCAAACATATTAAAATTTTAATTTTCAAAGATAATACTAGATTTAACAAGATAGCTAAAACCAGAGGGTTTGCATAAAAAGTGAAAAACAAACATAAATGTTTTTATTGCTTGTCTATTACTCATTATCTCTTATCTGACAGTGGACAGCGATTTCCATTTGGCAGTAGAAAGCTGATGTTTTCAGTAGTGTTAGAGCCACAGTGTATTCAAGGTCAGAGCTGGGAACATTCCAACAACAAATCTCTATCGTGGACAGCAATCCGTGGAAAAGAAAGGTACACTCTGAAAAATAAGTTAGCTAATTTAGCAAATAAAATACTATTAGTATTTATACAGAAGAGCAGGGGAAAAACAGGAAGGGGAGAATGGCAATGATTATCTTATTCAGGTTATCTGAGGAGAGCACTGGTAGCACTTGATGTGACATCTTAATGGGGAACAGACAATCATGTTGGCTTCATCAGACAACAGCTAATTTACTGAGGACTTAAACCTAAACCCAAACTTCGCCTTAGTAGTTAAGAAGTTATGCTAACAGAAGAAGGTGGGAGCAGGCAGAGACAGCAGCTGACTTGGAGGGAAAGATTGTTCCTTGATCAGGATAGAAAATTAGGTGAGCAGAGGTGACAGATAAGGCGACAAAGCCTGGTGAAGTACAAAACTGGGAGATGCCTCCCTTGTTATTCAGGTGTGCATTAGCTGTCTCTGCTTGCCCTGGAGGGCTGTAGGAATAAAGCCAACCAAGTTAGGGTAAGGCTGGCTGAAAAATCTGAAGAGTCAGGTCCTGAAACAGAAGAGTGGAAGAGGAGAAAGAGAGATGAGAAGAGGAAATTGATGTTTCTTAGAAGGATTCGTGGTTTATCGTGTTAGTTTGCCCTGTAGCTATAATTACTAAGAAAACACTTTAAGAGTGCTTCGAGGTTTAGCGCCTTGAAGATGCTGTGACAAAGAATGTCATTAGAGAGGGATTTTCAGGATTTGGGCGTTTGTGTGACTGCCTTTGTCAGCCCCACAGAAATCCTCAGCTGGAGCTGTTATCCCGGGATGCCTGCTCTACACCCGGGAGCGAGAGTCCCATCCCAGAGCCTCCCGTGCCCAGGGGCTGTGGCTGTGCCCTTCCCTCGGTCCTGGGACTGCATGAGAGGAGCCTGCTCTTTTCCCTGCCTTCACTTGCTTTCAGCTGCCTCTGGGGTGATCCTGGGTTATTCTACCCTCTGCTCTCTGCAGATCGTTCTGTCTCCTTTCTGTAAAATCAAAGCAAAATTCATACAAGAAGCCTTTTGTTAGATTAATTGACATGGTTGGAAAAGATCAGCTCCTAAGCAGAGGTCTATTCTGATTACATTTTCAGGACTTTTTTTCGAGTGACTTGAACAAGAGCTTACATTGCAAAAGTTGCCTGTTCATCTCCAATTAAATTGCATGGGTTAAAGTAGATTATCTTTTCTCATACATCTTGTTTTGCTCTTTTTATCATTTAATGGTTTAGCTACAGCATTTGTATATCATCTTCAGTCCTTGAGCTGTGGTCCTCGCCATTCTGTTCCTTATCTCTTCAGTTGTCCCATTGGATTGAAAATTTACAGAAATTCAGAGAATTGGGCTGATCAAGAGAAGTAGGTATTTCAAATAGGTGTCTCTTAAGTATGTGCTTATTTCTGATTAAGTGGTGGTAAAGTGTTTTTCTTGAAATTGGGCCATATTTTTGCCTAAGTAAACAAAGCTGTAGGTATGAAATAAATATTTTATTAAGTGATGTGTGCTGTGAAGGGAAAGAAAAGATCAGGGGAAAAGTAAATACAAACTGAGAAAAAAACAGAACCTGAGAGGACAGGAAATGAGTTATACACCTTTACCTGTGGAGCTCTAAATCAATGTCTTTTCCTTCCTTGAGCAGTTCAGTTTAACACGTTCCTAAGGCCAAGCAGAGTCTTCTTCAGTAAGCAAGCCATTACTCAAAGTCATAAAATAATTTTTAAATTATGTAATTGATTTAATTGAAATGGACACATGCATGGAAAGAGAACATTTTGATGTTCATGCTTCCTTCAAATGCAGTTTTCCACACAAAACCCTGCTGGGAACACTCACATTGGTTTCGGACAGCTGTCCCAGTGGATGGATTACCAGCCCTTCACTGGAGATCCCTGCTTCACCTCAATAACTTAAAATGGATTGGGCCACTGAATTGCACTAAAGCTTGTTCAGTTGTACTAAGGAGCACTTTAGAAGCGTTTAGTCTTTTTAGTTCTGTATCAGTAGCTCATTGAACATGTCCAGAAAAGCTCCTGGAAGTGTTTTCTTGTGAAAACAGCTGGAAAAAGAGCTTCATTTCACAAGATCAAGAAGGAGATTTTAATCACTATACCTCCTCTTGTTAGATTTTCATCAAAAAGATTAAAATTTAGATCTGGTCCCATCAG